GAAATCAAATCGTGTATCGAACTTGGGCAGAGTATCTAAGCCATCCACCCCTTTGGAGCTGGCTATAACCAGTGACATGTGGACTATTCGAAGAAAAAGGTCCACGAGAGAACCAGTATGTAATAATGACAATGAATACGACGGTAGTCGTACTCTGGTACTCCTAAGTAATAGAGTAGGCCTACGAATGACATGTCGAATTCACTTTAAAGATGGATTCGTGGCGCATTTTGGGAGCCTATTAGCACGGAGTGTTTTTCCTTTATCAATTTTGTTATTTACTTGATTTTGTCGTACTATTATATTGTCGAAAAGCCGATAGTGTGCTGCTTGCTCACCTGAGTATCATTGCACTACCAACGATTGCTGCGCCAGTGTAAATAAGAAGTAGTGCTATCAGGCACAAATCGACGCCAAACGACTGAAGGTAAACCGGCATAGCGGCGAATTCGTTCACAAAGACAACGTTTCTTGGGTCCGCTGTCAACATCGATGAGACTGACTGCGTGTCAGTTATTATCAAGTAAATTAATGTAATGCTAAAAGGTGTTATAAAAATAACTGGAAGAAGAAAAGCGGCCCATTTTAGAATAAGAAAAGCTTTAGATCTCAAGATCCAAGAATGGCAAACTGATATGTAGTTAAGTGATACTGAGTACGCAATGCTAAGAACGGCACACGCGCCAAACCAACAGAAAAAAGCGCCATAAAGTAGAGTTATTTCACGACCTAGTAGTCTGGTGGGTCCCATACTTAAAATCACAGGATATGGTACAATGATGTGCGGCACAAATAGCAGACAGATCATATTACATTCTAAAGCGGGAAACACAACATTGCAGTACATAAGAACTCGAAACGTCCCCAACAGCTCAATAGAAGCTGTTTTCATGACGTATAAAGCAAATAGTATCACCACATTCGTAGCTATGCCATAAAATAACATTGTTTTTCGTTGAATTGGAAAATATACTGCATGTTTCTCGTATACTTCAAATATACCAACAAAGTCTGACGAGTCCATCCTTCTGGACGCTGCTGGGTAGACTCAACTATTCTGAAAAACTCGATTTCTTAAAATCTTGTTAAGTCCTGGAGAAGATTGGCGCAATGTGGCTCGGGGGGGGGGCACCTCGCAACATCGCGTCAAAATCACGGAAACGCTCCGTTTTAGGACTAAGCTTTTGAAGAGGAGAGGAACTCCGGTGTACGGAAGCAATTTTCGTATTCTCCGGAGTTCGTCCCTGCTGTTTAGGCTTAGTCCTAGATGACTTTTCTCAGAGTGCCCCCCCCGAGCCACATTGCGCCGAACCATTTTCTGGCGTTGTTCGCACA